TAGGCCTGTGTTCAGAGGAGGAGGACAGTGTTCTCTGGACAATCTACAAACTCTGTGTACAGTCTGTCACAGACAGGTGAGACTTAGTCCTGCTCTAGTCCTGCTCTAGACCTGCTCTAGACCTGCTCTAGTCCTGCTCTAGTCCTGCTCTAGACCTGCTCTAGTCCTGCTTTAGACCTGCTCTAGACCTGCTCTAGACCTGCTCTAGACCTGCTCTAGACCTGCTCTAGACCTGCTCTAGACCTGCTCTAGACCTGCTCTAGTCCTGCTTTAGACCTGCTCTAGACCTGCTCTAGACCTGCTCTAGTCCTGCTCTAGACCTGCTCTAGTCCTGCTTTAGACCTGCTCTAGTCCTGCTCTAGACCTGCTCTAGACCTGCTCTAGACCTGCTCTAGACCTGCTCTAGACCTGCTCTAGACCTGCTCTAGACCTGCTCTAGTCCTGCTCTAGACCTGCTCTAGACCTGCTCTAGACCTGCTCTAGACCTGCTTTAGTCCTGCTTTAGACCTGCTTTAGTCCTGCTTTAGACCTGCTTTAGACCTGCTTTAGTCCTGCTTTAGTCCTGCTTTAGACCTGCTTTAGACCTGCTTTAGTCCTGCTTTAGACCTGCTTTAGACCTGCTTTAGTCCTGGTTTAGACCTGCTTTAGTCCTGCTTTAGACCTGCTTTAGACCTGCTTTAGACCTGCTTTAGACCTGCTTTAGACCTGCTTTAGACCTGCTTTAGTCCTGCTTTAGTCCTGTGGCTCTCACTGAGGTTTCTCTGTGTTTGGTCTGTGTTTGGTCTGGGTTTGGTCTGTGTTTGGTCTGTGTTTGGTCTGTGTTTGGTCTGTGTTTGGTCTGTGTTTGGTCTGGGTTTGGTCTGTGTTTGGTCTGGGTTTGGTCTGTGTTTGGTCTGTGTTTGGTCTGTGTTTGGTCTGTGTTTGGTCTGTGTTTGGTCTGTGTTTGGTCTGTGTTTGGTCTGTGTTTGGTCTGTGTTTGGTCTGTGTTTGGTCTGTGTTTGGTCTGGGTTTGGTCTGTGTTTGGTCTGTGTTTGGTCTGTGTTTGGTCTGTGTTTGGTATGTGTTTGGTCTGGGTTTGGTCTGTGTTTGGTCTGGGTTTGGTCTGTGTTTAGACCTGCTTTAGACCTGCTTTAGACCTGCTTTAGACCTGCTTTAGTCCTGCTTTAGACCTGCTTTAGACCTGCTTTAGTCCTGCTTTAGTCCTGCTTTAGACCTGCTTTAGTCCTGCTTTAGACCTGCTTTAGACCTGCTTTAGACCTGCTTTAGTCCTGCTTTAGTCCTGCTTTAGACCTGCTTTAGACCTGCTTTAGACCTGCTTTAGACCTGCTTTGGTCCTACTTTAGTCCTGCTTTAGACCTGCTTTAGACCTGCTTTAGACCTGCTTAAGTCCTGCTTTAGACCTGCTTTAGTCCTGCTTTAGTCCTGCTTTAGTCCTGCTTTAGACCTGCTTTAGACCTGCTTTAGACCTGCTTTAGACCTGCTTTGGTCCTACTTTAGTCCTGCTTTAGACCTGCTTTAGACCTGCTTTAGACCTGCTTAAGTCCTGCTTTAGACCTGCTTTAGTCCTGCTTTAGTCCTGCTTTAGTCCTGCTTTAGACCTGCTTTAGACCTGCTTTAGACCTGCTTTAGACCTGCTTTAGTCCTGCTTTAGACCTGCTTTAGACCTGCTTTAGACCTGCTTTAGACCTGCTTTAGACCTGCTTTAGACCTGCTTTAGTCCTGCTTTAGACCTGCTTTAGACCTGCTTTAGACCTGCTTTAGACCTGCTTTAGACCTGCTTTAGTCCTGCTTTAGTCCTGCTTTAGTCCTGCTTTAGACCTGCTTTAGACCTGCTTTAGTCCTGCTTTAGTCCTGCTTTAGACCTGCTTTAGACCTGCTTTAGTCCTGCTTTAGACCTGCTTTAGACCTGCTTTAGACCTGCTTTAGACCTGCTTTGGTCCTACTTTAGTCCTGCTTTAGACCTGCTTTAGACCTGCTTTAGACCTGCTTAAGTCCTGCTTTAGTCCTGCTTTAGTCCTGCTTTAGTCCTGCTTTAGTCCTGCTTTAGACCTGCTTTAGACCTGCTTTGGTCCTGCTTTAGTCCTGCTTTAGACCTGCTTTAGACCTGCTTTAGACCTGCTTTAGTCCTGCTTTAGACCTGCTTTAGTCCTGCTTTAGTCCTGCTTTAGACCTGCTTTAGACCTGCTTTAGACCTGCTTTAGTCCTGCTTTAGACCTGCTTTAGACCTGCTTTAGACCTGCTTTAGACCTGCTTTAGACCTGCTTTAGACCTGCTTGTGACCTGCTTTAGTCCTGCTTTAGTCCTGCTTCAGACCTGCTTTAGACCTGCTTTAGTCCTGTTCGGTCCTGCTTGTGACCTGCTTGTGACCTGCTTTAGTCCTGCTTTAGTCCTGTTCGGTCCTGCTTGTGACCTGCTTTAGTCCTGCTTTAGTCCTGTTCGGTCCTGCTTCAGTCCTGTTCGGTCCTGCTTCAGTCCTGTTCGGTCCTGCTTTAGTCCTGTTCGGTCCTGCTTGTGACCTGTAGTCCTGTTCGGTCCTGCTTTAGTCCTGTTCGGTTGCTTGTGACCTGCCTGCTTTAGTCCTGTTCGGTCCTGCTTTAGTCCTGTTCGGTCCTGCTTTAGTCCTGTTCGGTCCTGCTTTAGTCCTGTTCGGTCCTGCTTGTGACCTGCTGTTTCAGACCTCAGTGTGTGTTCTCTGCAGTGTGTATAATATTAAATCTGTGATAGCTGCATGTTCATAAATATTCCATAGTGTTTGTGGTGATCACTAATGTCATGTAATGGAAACAATACAGTGTCATGTATTAGTCTTATAATGATGCCTGCTCCTTGAAACCAAGATGGCCGCCTCCATGAGAGATGGAGGATGGAGTCAAAAGACTGACGTATCACCTGTTATATTAACATGTTTAAGTATGTTTAAAGTGATACATGGTAATGTATAGATTTAATGTAATTAAACATATTAATGTTATTGAATTCATTTGTCTGTGTCACAAAATACTTAATGTAATACATCATATTCTGATCACCAAACTTTCACTGCAATGGATGTTTTTAATATTACATATTTCATGGAGGCTGCCATCTTTTCTGTGACGAGCTGAGACATGTTCATTTAGAAGTTTGATCTGATTGGTCCATTTGAAAGATTGTGCTTTTTTATTTTATTATTTTTTTTAGACCTAGTTGTTTCCTCAGTTTCACATGTGACCCATGGTGTTTGTGTCCTGGTTCAGACCTGGTTTTGTTTCAGTCCAGGTCATAGTGTGTGGTCTTGAATGAAAGCAGGGGGGCTTGTTATTTTCTTTTGATTTAAATGGTTTTAAGTCCTCTGAGACTGTTGTGGTTTAGGGCTATACAAGAATACATTGAATAGTTTTTTTTCACTAGTAACATGATAGTATTAAGTCCAAGCTTTAGACCTGCTGTAGATATGCTATGGTCATGAATGTCATTTTGGACTTTCTGTTGGTCTTTTAGATCAGCTTTTTCAGTGGAAAATAGATAACTAACTCTCACTCAGCCAATTAGCTGTCAGTATGTAGAAGATACATTTTTGTTACTTTAAACTGAGTCATATTTGACTGGCTTTAAAGTCATATTTATAGTATTTATAAGTAATATAGTTTATGATAGTACACTGCTTCTGCCCATCTGCTGTCTATAGCTGTTGATTGAATGATTGAAACATTTGATTTGTTTGTTAACTTGTCACTGGTGCTTTCAGATGCCCAGGAAGCCTGGCTGGAAGCGCTCCGAGGCCACGGCCCGGCGCTGGGAGCACAAGCTAGACTTGTCCTGGCGGGGAGTGGATGAGCTGGCCTCTTCTGGGCTAGCTGTTCAGGTTCCTCGTCATGAGCAATGCCCTGAGCCGACCACTCGTATGTTTAATCTTTAAACTTATTCACTTTTCCATCTGTCGCTGCAACATTATTTGTATAATTTGCTGTTCATAGGCCTTGGTCGTGGTTCTCGGCATTCTGTGAAGAAGCAGAACTGGCCCACTTCGTCGTACGTCGACAAGCCTTGTAAGTGGGTCGTTCCGCCAGTGTTTCCGGACAAAAAGGTATGTCCCAAAACATTAGTTTTTAAATATGAAATGTTTTTACTTTCTTTGAATACACTTTTTTTCTCATCAACAGTTTGCATTTGTCCTTGGAAACTCCCATCTGCGTGCGCTCGTAGATGGGTTCGTGCCGATGCCAGAAGACGGTTTTTCTTTTGGCTTCTGCTCCATACCCGGTGGTTCTGCCCGGGACATATGCAAGGAGCTGTCTTCACAAATGGCTTGTGAAGACCCACCACTTCAGAGGGAGCCAGACGTCGTGTGTCTCCTCGCTCCTTGCAACAACCTAACAGCCAGCAAGACGGTTACAGAGGCTGCATCAGAGTTCGCCCGACTCCTCGACGTAGTGTGCAGCCGCTGGCAAGAGGTCTCAGCATGTTTCTGTTTAAAGTCATTTTATTATAATGGTTCCTTAGACAGTATATTCATTCTGTAACGTTTCACATAGGTCTGTGTTCTGGATTTTCCACCTCGTCTGACAGTAGAGGTGGAGCTCCAACAGGCCCTTAGGGAGGAGTACCGCCGTGTGGCAGCTCGCAGGGGTAAGTAGAATATAATGTATTGGCTTCAAAGTGTGAGTTTTCAGATGTCAATGTGCCCTAAAACAGCTCTGTATCTGGCTGTTTTCACAGAAATCCGCTACTTTCCTGTGGCTGAGCACTTCCGGATGGACAAACTCCGGTTGTGGTGCTGGGATGGTGTAAGTAAAAGTTTACATCACAATCTATACAGCAGGGCAAACAAGGTGCAGTGATCTTGGGCCACATTATGGGCTACATTTATCACATGTTTGTGTGTGCAGCATGTATGGAGGACCACAACTGTCAAAGTAATAACAAATGAATATATAAATGTCACATGTCACAATCTGCAAATATTTATTGAGATAACACTGCAAATGATATTTAAAAAAATATATATATATACATTATTG